TACTATCCGTAAATTTTAGTCTTGTATTGGAATTCTTGATAGTTTTGTGGCTTGTCTGTGTTGTTTGGACTCTAAAAATGTCGCTGCACTACTTTTGGATGATTCGACACGCACATGTTGACGTTTATGAAATGTCTGAGCAACATAGTCCCAATTTTGTTTGAGGAAAAGGAGATGAGAACTTTTTTGTGTAGTACAATTGCTTTGTCTTTAGAGAGTTGGCAGTCAGAAGCTTTTATGGTACTACTTTTCATTTCTTTATTAGAAGGTTGGTTGAATTGTCATATGTCCCAATCTTCTGAAAATGTCAGACTTCACTTTAGAAGAAGACTTCAGAGGTGTGAAAATGAAGTTAAGGCGCCAACACCTTTGAAAATTTTCATGCTTTTCTGTGCTATGACATCATCACAATTCACAAACTAGTTACTGTTACACTTTGTTTTGCCAATTAATTGCATTTTATGGTCTTAATATGTAATCTGAAGTCGAGGAGAGCTTTACGAGCGTTGAAGGGACTGGTGAAGCTTCAAGCACTGGTGAGAGGTCACATTATTAGGCAACAGACTGCTGATTATCTACGGCAAATGCAAGCAATATCCAGAGCTCAGTCAAGGGCTCGTGCTGGACGATCTCAGGTCTCAGGATCCCCTCATTCAAGCACCAAGTCCGTTCAATTTCTTCATGTAAGCAAAAATAATCTTCCTTCCCTCCAATTGTACAAATTTGAAGAGAATTCGTAATTTCTTAAAGATTGCTGTACTAAAGTTATGGTCTTTAATATAAGTTCCTACTTTGATAAAAGATTATTCTTCTAGAATAAAGATGCTTACTTTAACCATTCACTTCAGTCCCCCACACCTTTTTCCCATCTACTGTAAAAATGCCACTCTTTTTTTCCTCTTATTATAGTCACTATTCTGAAAGTGGTTAAACATGTCATGTGACTCTAAATTCTTTTACATGTCACGCGGGGTTCTTTTGAAAAATGAGTTAATGCATGTAATCTTTTTTTAGCCAAAAACTTGTCCCCTGTACTGTGTAAGTTAGCTCTAAGCTGCCTATGATTGATCAAATGTGTTCTTAACGTGTAGGATCCCACAACTCCAGAGAAATTCGAGCATGTTATCCGTGCAAGGAGCTTGAAGCATGATGAAACGTCTATGCTCAAGGTATTTTTTGCTTGTTAAGTAAGTGCAGTAACTATTTTAATTGTTAATGATTAACTTGGAGTATTAATAATGCAGAGGAATACCTCGAAATCAAATTGGAAGGCGATTGATTCGGAAAAGGCACGAATTAGACCTCAAGGATCTTCTGCAAGAACTAGTTCTATTGATGACGAAAAGAGTGACAAGATCCTTGAGATAGATACCGGGAAACCACATGTTACGCCTAAACAAAGGAACCTCTTCCACTCCTCACATCTTAGCCTGAACTCTGACCAATACAGCTATAGCTTAACAACGTCGAAGGAATCAACAGCTCATCAAACGGTTCCTAGTCCATCGTCCTGTGGAAATCAACCCCTTAGTCCCCTGAAGTTCAATGAGGATCTTGATGAAGCTTGCTTCTGCACTGCTGACAATAGCCCTCAGTTTTACTCTGCTTCATCAAAGGGCGGTAGTTCCAAGAGAGGACCGTTTACACCAACTAAGAGCGACGGTTCAAGAAGCTATATGAGTGGTTACTCTGATCATCCCAGCTACATGTCCTACACAGAGTCCTCCAAGGCTAAGGTACGTTCAATGAGCGCACCTAAACAAAGGCCTCACTACGAGAGATCAAGTTCAACAAAAAGGTACTCGATTCACGGGTGCAGTGAGTCAAGAAACAACTCACAAAAGGGTTCTTTTTATCCCAACTTCACTGGTAAAGCTTATCCCGGTTCTGGTCGTTTGGACCGGCTTGGGATGCCTGTTATCAGGGCAGATCCATCTGGATTCAGTGGTGGTCTTCGACACAGATATTAAGCAGATATTGTAGTTGAAAACTAACCAGATGTAGCTAATTATGAATATCTAATGTCTTGTGTTTAGGCCATGGTGCTAATGTGAAGCATTTTGTGTCTAGTTGGTAAAAGAATGCAATCTCTTGGTTATGAAAAGTATTTGATTCGAGTTCCTTTAGGTATTGAGCTGTTTTTGTTAGAGAGCATTATACCCCTAATGTGGGATTCTGGCTAATTTGAATTTAGTCGGACTTCAGTGCGTGGGAAAACTAAAATTAAGGCGCCTTTGTTTTCCAAATTACAAACTATACTCACATTTCAACTTTTTTTTTTTTTACCTTTTTAAATGATTCTACTCTCCAACATGAACTGAATTCAGCACTGATTAAAACAAAACAAAAAAAAAAGCTTCAATGCAGGCAGTCTGGCACCTTCTATTTAAGCATATCTTGCAATTTCCCATGAGGATCTTTGTCATTATAATTTTAAATATGAGATTTATGGGTCCACAATAATAACAGTAAGAATAGATAAGGTATGGCTTTTGGGACCATCTTGGAAGTATTTTTTGGGGTAGACTTGTTTCAAATATTGATCAAAACTTCTATTTATTCACTTTATACAGAGCTGTAGATTTTGAAGTAATATAGTAACATAAAGTAAGTAGTAGTTGGATATATTAAAAGTAGGAAAAGATGGAAAGTATCATCATGGGATTTTTTGACAAAATCTCTTTTCAGTTTTGCCATGTTCCGATATAACTCGAACTCAAAAACTAGCTTATATATACGAAGATTAGAACTCATTCCATCAGTTAATGTAGGACTTAAACACAAGTACACCAACACTTAATTGAAGAGTAGATTATGAGTATGGGTGACAAATAAGCGGTTTCCTCTCTAAATTTGAATGGATTAAAATGATTTGAATCAAGAAATAATCATTCATAGATCTATTAAAAGAAAGTTAATTGATTAAGAAGGGTGAGTCAAGATGGATTAAACAATGAACCGTACAATAACAACTATATATCTCGTGTAATCTTACAAGTTGGATCTGGGGAGGTAGGAGTGTATGTAGCCTTATCCTTAATTTGTGCACGTAGAGAAACTGTTTTCAATACATCTCCGTCTCAAGTAAAACATATTAAAAGTTAATAAAAGTTCTCATTTTTACAATATCATATAAAATAAAAGCAAGTTATTTTGTTTCTCATGAATCAAGTTAGCCCAAATCGGTCCAATTTGGGCAGATCAAAATGAATATAATTCAAATATTATATTTTCATGAGCTAATTTTACCGCTCCAAGACACGAACATTGAGAAGCACAGACAGGGGTTGATGATTCTAAGTTCTAACTAATAGTAGGGCAGATTTGATGGTCAGTTCATTTGCCGGTCTGGTTACGCACCTTTGCTCTCTATTTTCAGCCTCTCTTAACTGCATTCAAGTACATGTACCCCTTCAGTATTTCAACCAACAACTATAAAATTTTGAATTTTTGAATTTTCTGTACTACATGCATTAGATAAGATAGTCTAGACTTGACTCTTAGATACCGTTTCGTTGGGAATAAGTTAACCTAGAATTTATTATTCTGGAATAAGTTATCTCATTATGTATTATGAGATAACATATTTTATCACTAAAGAATAAATGGTGGGATAAATAATTTCAAGACCACCGAATACCTCCAACTATATACAGGATAAAATGTAGGGATTATTATACCTAATACCTCACAAACGACTCCTAAAATTGGGATCATTGCTTGCCAAAAAAAGAAGAGAAACATGAGTAGTTAGGGAACATAATCTTGACATATTTGATAAGTAGTTAAGTACTGATTTTGTATTCTATTGGAGACAAACATGTCCATTTGACTTTTAAAAATTTCAAAAACATATACTAACAATGGTGAATAGTAGAATGGACAACACTAAAATAATGCAGTGGTTGTGCATGGCAGCTAAAAAGTCATAATCACACCACTTAAATTTCTATTTCTTTCTTCATTCTTGTATTTATTATTACTAATGTTTTTGAATTATATTTGTTTGTTTGGGTAGCTTTAAGTGCACTAATAGCTGTATTTATCAAGAATTACATAGGGTGTCCAACAATCATTATATAGATACATAATTCACAAACGATTAAACAACAAGGTGTCGTGGTGTAGTTGGTTATCACGTCAGTCTAACACACTGAAGGTCTCCGGTTCGAACCCGGGCGACGCCATTTGTTTTTATAAATATATGTTGCATTTCTTTTTGAGAACCGGTTCATCATTTTCATCCAAATACATATATAGTTGCTTATTTATAAAAAATAATGATAAAGCACTTAAAAGAGTGTTTTTCAATGCTTAATCATGTTTATCAGCTATTTACGATAATAAAGTGGTTGAGAATCCTGAATTTTCAGGTTCAAAGTTCAGCGGAGACATAAATTATTAAGTGATTCTAATTTCCATGCATCGGTGGACATAGTTACTACATGTTGCTGGTGGGAGGTGATAAATATTCTATAGAATTAGTCGAGGTGATCCGAACACCCCGATCAGAAAAAACAAATATTTATTAAACCCATAAATATCAAATTCTAAATTTATTGATGACTCAATATAGACCAAAATAAACATACAAGGGAATGTGATGAAGAGATCACATCTAAAGTTTGACACGAAATTTCATTCTAACACCTCAGAATAATAATAAGTCCATGACATTGCCTCAAATACTTAGGAAAGAGCCAATTCATATAACTTCCAAATTCACTTACTATACAAACAAAATTGCTCACCTTTTTATTTGTATGAATACTGTGAATTCTCTCTTTTTTTCTAAAAGGCTAACGTGGAAGCAAAAAAATAACATGCAAAATATAGACCATCCACATGCCAAAACCAATAAAATTTCCTTGGCCACGTACTTAACATGCAACCCTTTCAACCCCTTATAAAATTCACACTATCTCTGTAACATTAAAATACCACAACATCTTCTATTAAAAAAATAAAATAAAATATTATCGATCTCTTTAATTTTCAATATGGGTAAAGTAATAATATTTGGAGCAACATGTTTAGCCATACTTTTTATGGGAGTTACAGCTTCTAGCTTTCGTACTACAATTACCATAGCTGAAAACCCAAGGGAACAAATGTCTCAACGTTGCCAAATGGAAATGCAAAGGGCACAGAACTTACGTTCTTGTGAAGAGTATTTAAGACAAAGTACAAAATTTACTGAAGAGGGAAGATATATGGATCAACAAAGTGGAGACTGGCGCCAATCATTCCCAAGGTATACATTCTTCCAATGTAATTATACAGGAGTTAAGAGTTTTTATATTTTTCCGTTCAATAATAGTTGTCCACTATATTAAAAATAGTTGTCCAACGAGATCATTTACCTTTTATGTCTATTTTATCCTTTCTAACTACTCCCTCCATCCCTAATTACTTGTATATTTTTATTTTATTTTAGTTGTCCCTAAATTACTTGTCCATTTTGACAAATCAAAAAAGAATATTTTTTTTTACCTATTATATCCTCAATTAATTGCTTTGAAAAAGATAAAACTTCTGAAAATTTTAAGTTTTTAATTCATCCACTTCATAATTAATAGGGGTAACATGGTAAACTCACTATGTTAATCATTGTTTTCTTAATAAGTGTGTCAATTCAAAAGTGGACAAGCAATTAGGGACAAATAGAGTATTTTTCAACACATAAAATTTAATAAAATCAATAAATAAAATAATAATAGTTCTCCTATTATTTATAATTTGTTAAGGGATGTGTCAAGTCAATAGTGGACAATTATTGTTAGATAGAGAAAATTATATTTAATTATACAGTCAGATCTCTCTAACAATGAAGTAGAAACGAAACTTGAAAATTTGATTTAATTAAAATAAATTATAAATATTTATGTGACTATAAATTATCTTATTAAAAATAATTTAATAATGTTAAATACTTTTAATAAAAAAGAGTTAGACATTTTCTTTGTTATACTTCGGATGAAAAAAAGGTTTTGAGTATTTTTTCCTGTTAAAGTTACACAAATCCGATAGTGTTAAAATTTGATGATCTATTCTATTTCTGATTTTTTTTTTTACAAATTATAAAATATCACTCGACGTACTTGTCCCGAATTAATTTTACTGTGTAAATTGATGAAAATGGACAGGTGCTGCGAGCAAATGGAGCAGATGCAAGACGAGCAATGTCGGTGCGAGGGAATAAAACAAGTGATGCAGCAAGAGCAAGAGAGAGGAGAATTAGAGGGAAGAGAAATGCGTGAGGCTTGTAAAACTGCACAGAGCCTTCCTGGTTTATGCCGCATGAGTCCTCACCAATGCCATAATATTCCAACTCCAACTTTCTATTAAGTAATTATGAAATAGTAAGCTTTAGTTAGCTTGCCTTTTTATTATTGTAATAAAAATAAAATGAGTAGTAAGTACCTACTGCTAGCTTGGTAATAATGAATAAGTATTAATCACCTTATTATGGTGCCTGTGTTGTGTTAACAAGGCAGTTTAATTTGGTGTGTTTGTAATGCTTTTGAGTAAGTAATAATAATGATGTACGAATTTCTATTTCCTTCCAAGTTAATTTGATCATCAATGAAATGTTTTTGTATCTTGGTAGTTCATAAGCCATTCCTAAGCAAAGTGAACCTAATATTACCCTCAGTTTCAATTTACCTGACACAAAAAAAAAAAAATAGTACATTTTAGTTTTTGATTTTTTATATAACTATAGATTATTTCATTAAAGTACTAGTGGAATTTAGAAGTTAAATTATTTTCAATTATAAAAATAATTTCATTTTTTACGGGACTAGTTAAAAGAATATACGGGGACAAAAAGATTATGTTTTTAGGGGATTTAGGCATCATTTTTTTTTTGTACTTTCTAAAAAATTATATTTATTTTTCATTATACTTTTTGTTATATTTACCTCTATTATCCAATTTTGCGATATATTTGCTCTTGAATAGTTATATTTTATATCTCTACTTTTGTTATTTTACATGATGTTTACGTGGTGATATATATATACATATATATATATATATATATCCTTGTGCTTTCTTGTCTTTCTTTTAAGAGATAAGATTCTTTGTTCTGTCTCTTTCTTTATGACGCAAGTGCTTACGTCTTTTGCTTTGTCATTTCTGTCTACATTGTAATTTTTATAGCTGTTTATCCACTGAGATTTTTATTCAGATTTGTCTTCAGGTGCTGAATGTTTATGATCTAGAAACTTGCTATATATATATATATATATATATA